ACATCCCAATGTGAGGACGTGCACATTGAAAATTTGCCTTTGTATCTAAAAGAGCTGACCATCTGTTCCCACCTCACAGCACTGACTTATGCTAGAGACTGAGGGTATGAGACTCACTGGGTGATGGAGACAAGAGGATTGATTGTATAAGTGTCTGTTGGTGACCTGGACATCTATAGCATAAGATATCCGCATGCTTAAAAATAAATCACCCTCTGACAGGCAGTAGTGGCGAATGCCTTTAATCCCAGCACTTGGGAAACAGTGGCAGGGGGATTTCTGTGAGTTCTAGGCCAGTCTGGTCTACAGGGAAAGTTCCAGGACTGGCTCCTTAGCTACTGGGAAACCTGTCCCCACAAAGCCAAAAATAGATAGACAGAAGATAGATAGATAGATAGATAGATAGATAGATAGATAGATAGATAGATGATAGATCACCCTCAATCATAAGATCCTAGTGGTCATACAATATAAAGAGTCTAACCAGTTTTTATTTGTGTGACCACTTACAGATCCTTGTAATAACTACTAGGAAATAAAACTACATTGGTACAGAAATTAGGAAATTCCATTTCCCACAAGTCCTATGAATGAATCATCATTTGATTTTATCAAAACTCAGCCAAAAATCCGAAAGAAAAATCTAACATTGAGGTGTTTTATTAATTTTTTATTATTTTGTTTTTATTTTCATCATCCAATGTGTTTCTCATAGAAGTCTTTCACATAAGTATAGTTTGGTTTTTTTTTTTAACTTAGATAGTGTGGTGGTTTAAATGAGAATGGACCCCCATAGATTCATGTATTCAAATGCTTGGTCCCCTGCTGGTGGGAAGATTAGAAGGCCCTGTTGGAAAAGATGTGTCACTGGGGGAGCAGGTTTGGAATTTCAAAAGCCCAAGAATTCCTAGTTAGCACTCCTCCCACAACTCATCTCTCTGATAGATAGATAGACAGACAAACAGAAAGACAGACAGACAGACAGAAATGATGATGATAGATAGATAGACAGACAGACAGACAGACAGAAATGATGATGATGATGATGATAGATAGATAGATAGATAGATAGATAGATAGATAGATAGATAGATAGACAGACAGATGAGTTATGGTGTAAGCTCTCAGCTACTATTGCAGCACAATGCTTGTCTGCCTGCTGCCATATTCCCCACCATGATGGTCAAGGACTCTAACCCTCTGAAACTGTGAGCCCCAAATGAATTTTTTTCTTCTATAAAGTGCCTTGATAATGGTGTCCTATCACTGTAATAAAAAGTAAATGAGGCCGCTTGACGCCGCCGAGGTCGCACGCGTGAGGCGGGTCCGCAGCAGACGACAGGCGCTACGTCGCCTCTTACTTGCTTGCCGCCCTTGGGGGCAACTCCTCTCCTACCGCCAAAGACATTAAGAAGATACTAGACAGCGTGGGCATCGAGGCGGACGATGACCGGCTCAACAAGGTCATCAGTGAGCTGAATGGAAAAAACATTGAGGATGTCATTGCCCAGGGTGTTGGGAAACTTGCCAGTGTGCCTGCTGGTGGAGCTGTGGCTGTATCTGCTGCCCCTGGCTCTGCAGCTCCTGCTGCTGGTTCTGCCCCAGCTGCAGCAGAGGAGAAGAAAGAAGAGAAGAAGGGAGGAGTCCGAAGAGTCGAATGATGACATGGGATTTGGCTTGTTTGATTAAATCTGTGCTCCCCTGCAAATAAAACCTTTTTATGGCCGGGCAGTGGTGGCGCACGCCTTTAATCCCAGCACTCAGGAGGCAGAGGCAGGTGGATCTCTGTGAGTTCGAGACCAGCCTGGTCTACAGAGCTAGTTCCAGGACAGGTTCCAAAGCCACAGAGAAACCCTGTCTCGAAAAACCAAATAATAATAATAATAATAATAATAATAATAATAATAATAATAATAATAAATAAAAAACCAACCTTTTTATGTATCTTGAGAAGAAAAAAAGTAAATGAGACAGGTGGCATACATCTATACATAAAAAAACATACAAAGTCATATCACACAGAAATAAGGATGGTTTTTCTTTTGGGTATTTTCTTTCAATCTTTTGTACAAAGTTTATATTTTTCTCTATATATTATTGCATACACTACATTTTTTCAGTCAGCATTTTGAGGTCCAGAATATTGTTTTATTGTATAGTTGCATTTGAATTATTCATTATCATTGTTTGAACATTTAGGTTATTTCCAAAGCTTGGCTATTGATTTGTAGTATATCCAAAAAATTTGATGGAATTTAATAGTTTACACTTAAGAACTTGTGTATATTTATGTGCATGTCTTATACATACATATGTGTTGTGAATATATGTCTTCATATTTCCACAGTATGTACTTTACTGACTGAATCATCTTTCTACCCCTGGTAAGAACTTCTTTAGATGCTTTATATTTATTGCTAAACTGTTCATTGAAAAAAACACATTATAATGATCAAGTCTGTTGAGGTTTATTTTATTTTCCAAAATTTTTACTAACTTCTGAGGCCCCTCCAAAAATAAGTATTTAATTACTTTAATGTCCCAAATTACTCAGAATTCTGGACTTTCTCCACATTTCTTCTCTTGAGTTTTTTCTCAGAACTGTTTTTCTCTTTGTCGTGACTATGAACTCATGAATATTGCTCTATTATCATCATAGTCTTGTGCTATGTTGACAATCTTAAGTAGATAAGACACTGGAAATAAGCCCTCGCTATCAGACGATGCACAGTGATTGTCTCCAGATGACCCTTACAATGATTTTGTCAATTTCCAAGTCCCATTGGGATTTTGGTTTTCATAAAACATATAAATTATTTAAAATCTACAGTCTTTTTTGCCAGGAATAGGTTTTATTTTCTTATGTTCTTTTGTATGCCTTTGTAAACTTTTCTTCATTACACAAACAGCAAACTCTATGAAGAAACCCTCGTGAGTTTCACATATGAAGAATTCTTGTCACTGGAATACCTTTCAATTTTTTTCTACATAATTTTGGTAGTGCTTAAGAAAACTGCTGACTTTTTAAGTATTTATTCTGTGGCAAAATAAAATTCTGGGTTCATTTTCTCCTGTTTCTAGAAACATAATCAAGTTGACTATAACTCTAATGCTCTTATAATTTACAACACTTATGTATTATTTTGTGTCCTATACTGTTGCTGAAAACAATCGCAAGAATGAAATATGATTTCAATGCTAAATATAATTTTAAGAATGATTTTACTACCCACGTGTGTAGAATATTTTCTAGAATATTATTTTCTGTAATATAATACAGGCGCTGTGATAGATGCCTTCAGAAGGATATCTCTACAGCTGGATAGCCTAGTTCAAGAGGCCTATTGTCATACAGTGAGTAGCATGACTAATAAAAACCCAGAGACAGATATAGGGGTTCAACCTGAAGGCCAGAAAAGCACCCTTAAAGCCAAGTGGTGTAATCCCAGTATGTAGAAGCAGGGAAGTCAGCAGTTCAAGGTCACCCTCAGCTGCATAAAAAATCTGAGTTCAAAGTATACTAGTGAGATCTAACTTCCACACCAAAAATTCAGGAAACAAACTCTAGAAAGACAAAAAAAAAAAAAAATAAAGTATACTCTTAAAATGGAGGTACTCAAAAAATGGGATCCCTTACAAACTATAAAACAGATCTGAACATCCATCCAGCGGTGGTTAAGATAGACCACCATTACAGTGCCATCTCCTCTCGCAGACTTTATTTCTGTTATCCACTTGTGTGCTCTCTGAAGAGCCTCATACACAAGTGTTCGCTAAAAATCATTCACATTAAAATAGAAATAACATCATAACAGCCTACCTATTTTCATAGACTAAGTTTTGAATGAATATATCCTAAAATTTGAACATATAAAAGGAAGTTGTTGCCTGGGATTTTATCTAGTTAGTAGAGTGCTTCCCAACCATGCACAAGGTCCTGGGTTCAATCCCCAGTACTGGTAATAAATAAATGAATAGTATTAAAAAGCAAACTAGTTTGCTAAAAAGAGCAATGAAACTTGGTTCATCCATCCATCTCTGGAGCATAGGGTCAGTCAACAGATGTCTATTAGGATGGACAGGAAGTGTCAACAGACAGAGGTAAAAGAAGAAAACAGTTTTCTAACCAATTTCACCTCGTTGAGGAACACATTTATGTTGACACATGCATTGATTTTCCAAGTATTGACATTGGAGAATGTGCTGTTTAGGATTGTACTTTTCATTCCCAACAAAGAAACCTCTTGAGGAAATAGATAATAAAAGCTATAGCGTTTTTATGCCTTTCTCACCCTGGATCGTCTCACGTTCTAAAATCTCCCTGAAAAGCCTCTGCCAAGAAAACATCCTAAAAGCCAATAACAGCAAAAAGGTATCTGTGTGGACAGAAACCTGCCTATCTTGAGCAATCTATGCACAGTTATCAGTAACACATTTCAATAAAATTCCTATAGTTAGTTCCTATGTCACCTTGTGGCTAGCATAAGCTTTTCTTATTCAACAGGTGTCAAAATTAGTAATTTGCCCCAAAATACAGAACTACAACATAGTTTACAAAGCAAAGAATTATTTATGTGTCAGTTTTGATATACTTGCAACAGTTGGTGATCATGTGACTGTTTGATCCTGGATGTGGCAACAGGAAAGAATAAATGGCAATCATGAAGGTAAATTAATGATGGTAACAAGAAACTCTGCCCTTTACTGGAAATTTTTGAAATATTCCCTTCTCTCAGACACAAACACCATTCTATGTCTGTTGATTGACATGAAATGAAAGATAGAAAAGTAGTGTTCCGGAAAACAAAACCCAGGATAAATAAGTCATGAAGATCCTTTACCTCCCTGGACAGTCTACCCTGGTGATGAAAGATGGCACGGGGGGTGCATGAGATCCATTGTTCAAGTGGCATGTATTGTTTATGGGCAGGATGACCCTGTCCCACTGAATAGATTATGCATCTGGCTCATGAGAAAAAGTTAGTCTGTGAGAAGAGGCCATGGAAGCTAGCATCCAACTCATGCAGGTTATCCAAGAAATGAGAGCAAAAATCAACAGACTAGAGGAAGAGAATCATACCCTCCGTGTGAAGCTGACTTCGGTTAACCAGATGGCCTCTGGCTCAGAAAAGGAATCCAGAGATGAAAGGGAAGAAGCAGAGTACGGGCAAACTCCAGGAGCCCTTCCTCATGGTGTTCCCACTGATTCTCCATCAGCTCTGCAGGAACAAGGTACCAAACATATGTGGCTCTTCTGGGCTATGCTTACGTTTTCAAGTATCTCCCAAATGACTGATTTGTTGGGTTGCTACAACAAATTCATCGTTTGGCACTTGCAGTGATAGGTTTCAGCCTCTTCCTTCTAGTAGATGAACTTTAAATCTCTAGTCAAAATTCCCTTTAGGTTCTTTAAATCCTATATTTCAATAACAATAAAATGACTCTGAGTGTACCAGGAAAGCTAAAATCAGATGTGTAAAACATCAGTCACATTCAGAAATTTTCTTCCATTTTGACTTTAAGTATATAAATTCTGCAAATGTAGAACAATGAAGGTGCATGTTGATTGGTATGATCATTTATCAATCACTGAATAACCACGGAATAATTTTTTAAGTGGGTTAACCTGTGGATCAAAATCAGATAAATGTGGTTCTCGATGACCTGTTACTCAGTCACTTGACTCTGGGTTCCATATTAGACCTCTTGAATCTTCTCCACCTGGAGGTACTGTGGTGCATGCCTCTGTGCTGATGGCGACCACTTGGAATGATTAGTAGTACTTGGATGTATGCAACATATGACAGGCACTATCCCTTTTCCTCTTTCTACACTGTGAGACACATTACACACACTTTAACCTGTAGATAGACAGTGATAGATGATAGAAAGATAGATGATAGATAGATAGATAGATAGATAGATAGATAGATAGATAGATAGATGATAGATAGATAGATAGATCATAGACAGATAGTGTACAGATATATAGATTATATACATATTGAATACCTCAATATGAAAGATTAAAAGTCAAATATCTCATTTTTTACAGGAAAGACTTAATTCCATAATTACTTAAAATGTTGGACTCTGTAGTAAGAAACACGTCCTACCTTTCAGTTGTCAGGGCTCACCCTCAACAACGTATTCAAATCAAAAATGATATCCATAATTAACTACTCATTGCTCTTAATATCATCCATCACAGGTTTCAGGCAATGCCAATTAGAGGCAGGGAAGAGTTTGATAATGGAGCATGTCACATCTGCTGCGTGATCTTATTAGAGATGTCTTTTTCCAGTGAAGAGGGAAAGCATTTCAAAGCTACAAATACATTCCTGTCTGGAGCTGAGAAACTCTGTCTACTGATGATCTAAGAAAACTACAAAAGAAGAATCTATAATATTAGACCCCCTTATTGGAAAACAGGAAGAAAAGATATGGATATTTGTAATATATCCTTCTACAGGGCTTCTAATTCCCAGCAGTGCTGACCTTTCCTATTGACTAATTCTTCTTTGTTGAGGTCAGTCTAGATGTTAGAAGATGCTCAACATTTCCAGGCTCCCTAAACACCAGTTGCTGTAACACCCACCTGTCCAACCCAGTTACAACCATCAAGTTGTCTGCAGCCAGGCACTGTGGCATCTGTCAATATAACCCTAGTACATAAGATGCTGAAGCAGGAGAATCGTGAGTTTGCAGTTAGCCTAGGCTACACAGTGAGTTCACGGTGAGACTGAGTGAAAATCTGGCTCAAACAACAAGTCTTCGACAATTGGCCAAATGTTAACTTCCCTCACTTGCCATCACAACCACTGATTTGCTCTAAAGGTAGATAGTACTGCCTCAAGTCTCTTTTCTATATTTCTCATTCACATAACAAAGCAACTAGAATCTTCATATCTTAGCACCTTATCCTGAGATAAGTATTGCACATTTCCAAGTACTATCCTTTGTACTCTCAGGATGTGAATATTATTAAGTATGGAAGGTGGTAGAACATTTTTAAGACCTAGAAACACAGTTGGAATCACACTTCTTCAGCATAGAAATAATAACTTGCAGTAAAAACCTTACTATTAATTTGAGGACTAGCTGAAATACATGTCAGAAAAAACCCTAAGAACTTGTTCTGATTGTCCCAGCAAAGCACACAAAAAAAAATGTAATATAGTGGTATGCTTGAAAGTCTAGTGGGATATCTTCGAATTATATTCTTTGCCAAATGGTCAGCCCTGAACACATACATACAAGTGACACTATATAACCTGAGCAGTTTATAGTTATGCATTAAGAAATATATATGTAACTAGGTGGTGGGGGTGCACACCTTTAATCCCAGCACTTGTGAGGCAGAGGCAGGTGGATCGCTATGAATTCAAGGTCAGCCTGGTCTACAAGAGGCACCAAGACAGGCACCAAAGCTGTACAGAGAAACGCTGTCTCAAAAAACAAAAAAAAAAGGAAAAAAAAAATATATATGTATATACATATACAATGTATTTGTAACAACAATTAATGAAATTAATATAACAACCATTAATGAAAAAAGAGACCATAAACTTCACATATTAGTAAGGAGGGCCATATGGAAAGAGTTGGAGTGAGGAAGGGTAAGGGAGAAATTATATAGTTGTATTATAACCTTAAAAAAATAAAAGAAATAATATAAAATTACATTTGTCTTTTATGTTATATGCTTCTGCAAGAATAAGTAACTGAACTGGGAAGGACATGGATTTGAGCATCACAATATCTGGGTTGGAATCCCAGCCTTGTAACAGTGTTCAGTGTTGGGCAGATCATCTCAGATTGCTGATCTTGGCATCTGTTGTACAGCAATATCATAGAATTTATTAGCCTCCTAAAAGGAGACTCACTCAGAATCAGAAAATTTCAACTAGACACATTTCATACCAAGCTCATTAAGACTCAGGAAGTAAATAAGTCATAAGTCTCAGGAAGTCCACGAAACTTAGGAGATCCTCAAGAGTCCTCTCTCCGCAAGGTTATATAAACAGTAAGGACTGCAGGGAGAAGAGGAATATCTTAGTTTGCTCTCCGTTGCTTTGATAAATACCATTGTCTAAAGCAACTTGGAGAGGAAAGGGTTTATTTACACTTCCATATTACCGTCTATCATTAAGGGAAGCCAGGACAGGAACTCAAACAGGAACCTGGAGGCAAGGATTGAAGAAGAGACTATGGAGAAATCTTGCTTACCGGCTTGCTCCCCCTGGGTTTCTTAGACACCTCTCCTATACAGGCCAGGCCCACCTGTCTAGGGATGGTACTGTCCGCTGTGGCTCAGGGCCTTCCATATCAATCAGCAATCAAGAAAATGCTCATATCCAGTCTAATGGAGTCATTACTCCCTGAGATTTCTCTTCCCGCATATGTCTAGGTTTGTGTTGGTTGAAAGCTGGGGTTATGAAAGAGGACTGTCCCACCTGTCAAGCTGCTAACAGTTATTGGTTGCAGCTTTCATGAGTCATGCCCCAGGCTGGAGTGGGCTTTTCAATCATCTGGCTGCCTTTGGTTAGTCATGCTCCTCTATGTAATCCCAGTAAGCTCTTTGGTTCCACAAGATGGACTTTGATGAGATTGGGGGAGAGGGGGTTCTCATTCCCAATCTGGAGTGAATAGACAGTTGTTCAGACCTCCGCAGGAAGGCTAACACAATAGTCCCCTCACATCAAATTGCTGATTACATCCTGCTCTTCAGCTAAAAGGTTTTTATCAAATCTAACTTTTCCAGTTATATATACAGTCTTTTAAGAATAGCTTCATATCATCTACCATAGAAACAATTTGGCTTTTGTATAATAAAAATGAAAAAATTCTGTCATTTTTCAGGAAATGGCTGGAACAAGAGATCATCAGTTTAAGTGAAATAAGCCAGAGTCAGGAAAGTAGATACAAAGTAGTTTCTATAATATATGAAGTCTAGTCCTTTAAAAAATTCAGGTGACATGAGAACAGAAGGGAGGCTGTTTATAGCGGACAATGAGGACTACTGAGAACTCAAGAACGATGGCAATGGGTTTTTGATCCTACTGCACGTACTGGCTTTGTGGGAGCCTAGGCAGTTTGGATGCTCACCTTACTAGATCTGGATGGAGGTGGGTGGTCCTTGGATTTCCCACAGGGCAGGGAACCCTGATTGCTCTTTGGGCTGACGAGGGAGGAGGACTTGATTGGGGGAGGGGGAGGGAAATGGGAGGCGGTGGCGGGGAAAAGACAGAAATCTTTAATAAATAAATAAATAAAAAGAAAAGGGAATGGTATCTATGGGGGGGGGGGACAAATGAGGGTATGGAAATTGAATTCAACACATATGAACTTATTAGAATCTCATAGTGAAACTCATTGTTTTGAACAGTGAGTACACAAACTTTTTAAGTATCAGGGCTTAGAGACAGTTCAGTTGTAAAGCGTTTGCCTTTTAAGCCTGAGGACCTAAATTCAAGCCTTAGAAACCGAGAGAGAGAGAGAGAGAGAGAGAGAGAGAGAGAGAGAGAGAGAGAGAGGAAGAAGAAGGAGAAGAAGAAGAAGAAGAAGAAGAAGGAGGAGGAGGAGGAGGAGGAGGAGGAGGAGGAGGAGGAGGGAAGGAAGGAAGGAAGGAAGGAAGGAAGGAAGGAAGGAAGGAAGGAAGCCTCTGTGATGGAACACCCTGTAAAATCAGCACTGGAGAGACTTGATGGAGAGAGGGGGTTGTGGGGCTTGTTGTCCAGCAAGCCTAGCTAACTTGGTGAGTTCAGGCAGGAGAGATTACTATAGGAAAGGAAGGAAGGAAGGAAGGAAGGAAGGAAGGAAGGGAGAAAAAAGAAAGAAAGAAAGAAAGAAAGAAAGAAAGAAAGAAAGGAGAGAGAAGAGAGGTAGAAAGGCAGAAAAGGAGGGAGGGAGGGAGGGAGGGAGGGAGGGAGGGAGGGAGGGAAGGAATAAAAGAGAAAAAGATGACAGCATCTGAAGGACAATACCTAATACCTAAGATCATTCTTTGGCCTCCATATGGACATGTACACACACAGGAATAAATGCACACATACACACATATACACAAACACAACACATGCACACACACACACACACACACACACACACACACACATACACACACACACACACACATTGTGGGGAAAAAGTCAGTTACACCAGATACATTCCAAGGCCTCTTCCAACAGAGAAATGCTTGATTCTACGAATCTGCTCATGGACACTTGCCTCTCCTGTGCTGTAAGGACAGTGACAGACCTTATCCCATGGGCTCTGAGAGACCTGAGTCAGACAACACAAACAAGAGCAATGTCAATTTTTCAGTGACAGTTGCCAAGAAAATATTATTACTTGACTTACATACAAGTTTCTATTGGAAGTTTGAATGATATGTTGGCAACATCATTTGAAATTCAAACTTGCAATGGAACCCTAGAAATCTATTACATAGTAATCTTGGAGTGCACCCCATAAAAATTCCTTTATTTTACAGATAAGAATATAAAACACAGTACATTTAAGAAAGCGACATCCCCAATTTGTATTTTTTTTTTTTTGGTTTTTCGAGACAGGGTTTCTCTGTGGCTTTGGAGCCTGTCCTGGAACTAGCTCTGTAGACCAGGCTGGTCTTGAACTCACAGAGATCCGCCTGCCTCTGCCTCCCGAGTGCTGGGATTAAAGGCGTGCGCCAACCAATTTGTATTTAAAAACAGAATCTTACAAAACTACCTCCTGATAACTAAATATCATAAAACACAAGTATATGCCTCTCTTCAAGAAAGAAACTAGCTTGAAAAAGCTGCAAACAAATCACTTGGAACCCCAAGTTCATCCAGATGTGTAATAGATACCGTGAGAAAATCAAAGGAGACATTTCTAGAGTAGAGTTAGCTTCTTCCTTGATTGCCTGAGGCCAAGACCTGAGCTAGAGCTCAGGGGTGTATCTGCTGGCTGATGAACTATGTTTATCACATAATGAGGCTACAGAGTGCCTACTCAGAATGAATTCTCCTTGGATAAAACATGTTTGTAGAAACATCAGCATTGCATGGGTTTTGATGGATGTAAAAATCTAACAGCACTTTCTGAGAATGTCGCCTGGTCCTTCCTGCTCTGTGCAACCTCACCTCGTGGCTGTTGTGAGTGTTATAATTGGCAATGCGGAAGATAAAAGAAACATCTCAGGGAACTCCCAGCACTGCAGGGCTCTGATTCTTTTCAATCTCTCATATCCTTTACTGGCAAGTAAATTGCAGTTGGCAGTGATCTTTGAAACTGGACTAGTGGTCCTGTGATGCTGTGTGAATATTTCTTCCCTTGTGTGTATAAGAAAGAAAAGGGTAATTTGTGACTCGGGGAGATGAGCAAAGAATTTATTTGGTAATCAGTTCCACATTAAATGCAGAACCCAAATAAAATGAATTCAACTTTGCTATCATCAGCATAATTTTCCCCGTCCAGTTCCCTAGGACTCAGAATGGAGAGGTAGCTTCCTAATTCTTTTAAACAGAAACTTTAACGTTTCAATTTCCAAAACTGATTATACATAGTTACATATGGTGTACACTACAGTCTTTGGAAAGACATAAAGGTAACTTCTGAATGGCATTTACAGTTAATCTCTTCAGATAAATTTGCACATATCTGCTCAAAACTCATCCCTAAAATCTCATCTTCTGATCTTGTAAACTGTGCAAAGCCGGGTCAGTCTCCACTTTTTGCAGTGTCACAACCCTTTCCGTCCTTTTCCTGCAATGACAGGTGGCAAATTTAAATAAATTACTGTAGTTCTGGCATTCTCGAAACCTAAACACATTGCATAGCTTCCTTTTACATTTCCGTGCTAGCTAACAACAAAGTTATAGCAAGCAACACAAAGAGTCAACAAGTAGAAAGGACCTTGAAAAATGAAAATCAACCCACGAGGTCAATGCTGCCCTCATAAGTGACAACTGACATCCAAGCAGAGGTCAAACGATCAGCCTCAAGCCATAGAGCTAAGAGGGACTCAGAGAAGTCAAGACTCCCTAAAATAGAGTTCTTTGAACCAAGGTTCTCAGCTTTTAGCATAAACAAGGAAAATCTGGTTTACTTCACAGAAGAAATGTATTGGAAGTCGTTGATGGACAGAAACTGAACTGTAAGCCCTTGGGAACTAAGTCCATCCACCTGCCATTAGGAAGAAACACTCACTTGCCCATATAAAGCCCTTCTGCTTTCTTCCATATTATCTTGTTCTTAACTCCCAGTGGGCTGTCTCATGGTCACCAAATAAAGCCAAGTCATTCAACTACAGGACAGTTAGGAACAACCAGCTGGATTACTGTGGCTATCTAGGTGGCCAAGGACAGTGGATGAACCCATTTTTCTGGAGTCTAGAGTGAAGATACCTTCAGGAACCACAATCTCGAGACATTCCACGATATCCTAATTTTAAGGACTTGTTTTATAATCTATTTATATCCAAGTCTCTGTTTATTTTATATTTAAATTTACACTTACTATTTAACAATATACACTTATGAAATATATTATGATAAATTTTATACTTTTTTACAGATATAACGCTTAATACTGTCAGTATAATTAGTATTTATATCTCATTAAACACATTTTCAGCTTTATTAACACATAATAATTGTACATACTTATGGGTATAGCATAATATATCAATATACATTTATATATTATGTGCAATGACCACATTAGAACAATTAACATTTCTGGATATTCATTATTGCTTCATGTTTGAAGCTTTTGAGCTCCTCACAATCTTCTAGTTAACCATAAAAATCTACAGTAATCTACTATGAACTAATTCTATGTTCTTGGGTTTTCTCTGACCACACAATGAAATGACCTCATCTCTTCTTTCATGTGTCTTTATCCCTTGCTTTCTCATCCTAAAATCTGTCATCATCTGCACTGCATCACGTATTGCCTGCTTATGGCAACAAACTACACACTGAGAACTCTATGCAGACAAAATTTTCATGATGTTCACTACCCCATTTCTTGAAAAAGTGTCCAAACTGTGGCTATAATCAACTAACACTTGTAACACAAATCAGCAAAATGATATCTTTCTTTTCACATCAACTAGGTATGATCAACATCATCTTTCGATTGTGAATATCTTTAAGGGTAGAATATTTCACAGCTTGAATTTTGTGCTTCCTGTACAGGCAATGTCATGATTGTCAGACGCTACTCCGTTTCTCCAGCAGTTCACTCCTGTGCAGCGAATGACCCCTGGAAAGCTCGAAACAGACTTCCAAACATCATCGGAGCATCACTGGCACGTTCTTCCACTAGAAATCAGGACAATGGAGAAAAGATGCTGGCTGCAGTTGCTTACAGCAGCAGTAGCTCCAGCCAGAGAGCTTCTTCTGATCACAGTTTTGTTTGCAGGTAATGCTCACTGTGTCCCTGGTTAATTTACAGGCGTGACTGAGGACTCATCAAGCATCCTTCTAGACATGTCAGGATGTACCCACTGGAGGAAACAAAACCAGAGTGCAAACGATTTCCATCCCATTGATGGCTAGGGAATCAAAAGAACAAACTGTAATGGTCCAATCTCACCTTCTAACAGATGTTCTGCAATAAGCAGAAAACTTAGTCTTTATTCCTTCCTCAAGTATTAATCATACTCTGAACCATGCACCAACACAAGACTTAGACAATCAAGCATTAATTATACTCTGAACCATGCACTAACACAAGACTTAGACAATCAAGCCATTAGAGGATGAAGAAGACACAACAGGCAAACTGACCACTCAATAGTATGTCTTGGGGTGAAGGATAGCTATTTTAGGAACTAAACACACAATTCCTTTCGGAGAGAGAAAGTTTCTCGTGAAGGCAAATGTCTTCAAGGGGTTAGGGAGAAAGTTAACAGAATAAACTGTTTAGGGATAGTCCCAAAGGTACAAGACTCAAAGGGAAAGTGTTTCCGAATGCACAAGATGGTATTTAAGGAATGGCATGATTTCAATATGAAATGCTCCCGACTGTCCTATGTGTTGTACAATTGGTGTTCTAGATTGTGGCACTATTGAGGGAGGTTGTGGAAACTAAAAGATGGAACCTAGCTGGAGGACCTGAGTCACTGGGGTAAGTTCCTAGTCTGTTCCTGTAACTTCTCTTTGATCTGCCTGCTGTAATGTGAACAGCTGTCCCTTATCAAGCACCGCTGCCCCCAAGATGCTCTACCCATGTTAGTGTGTAAACTGAGGGCATAACCACTCCAGGGTATGGTTGATGGAAAGGTTTTATTGTAGATATGAGGGAGGGTACAGCCAGAGGCATCTGGGAGAGTCCAGAGCAGCAGGAGAAAGTATTAGACAGAACATGGCCAACAGACTAGATGAGACCATAAGGGAAGATAAAGATAGAAGTGGGAGAGAAAGACAAAGATATGACCAAGAGAGGGGGCAAAAAAGAAAGAAACAAAGAAAGAAGACAAAAAAGAGGGTGTGCGGCTGACATAGTATAAGGAAATGAGACACTGGAAGAGGGAAATCTATGAGCTGGATAAATTCAGGATAGGGGCAAGGTAAGAAGAACTGAGTGGAACTGCAGGTACTTGTACTAAGGAAGCCTGCAGGCCAGCATGTACTTTGGTATGCTAATAGGCACCACAGGTAGCCATTGGTCCCTTCTGGCAGTGATAAGGAAATAGCTCTTTTGGTAGAAGGGTATAGGCCCTAGAATTTGGGGGAGCAGAATTTCCTTTGAACCTCACAGTAAAGATGTTCTGCCCATCAACACTTGACAAGAACCTATGGACTTGAACCCTCTAATAACTGCGAACCAAATTATATCTTGCTTCCTGAAGCTGTCATTTATTTGAGTCTTAACTACAAAAGGTAAATAATAGGAGTTAGCCTGAAAAGTAGAGGAAGCTGAAACAATTGACAGATAAGCTTGGGGTAGGATCAAGGATCCCTTTACAGCAAGAATGTCTACTACAAAGCCTGCCATGCAGAAGTATGACTTTTTCCCTCCACTCTTCCGTCCTGCCCCCAGTAAAGTTCTGACTCTATCAAGGTCTCCACACATCTGTCTTGTATGAGTCAAGTAGGAAAATAGAGAAAAGGGAGTGTGGGTTTCATGACTGGCTTATCACAGTGGAGAAAAGGGGGGGGGGGGGGTTGTATTGCTGAAAGAATATGAGTCATAGCATTTAGTGGTGGCAGGAAATCAAATCAAAAAGTAACCACAGGCCTGCACGAATTCTTCTAAGTATTGCAAAGAACAGAGACTTCCCACTGGGTGTGGGATGCAGAGGCCAAGGCACTTTGATTTCAAAAGACAGAATGAAAACTGTGTGTCACTTGTACAAAGTTCCATTAGGGAAATGAGAGTTACCCTAAGTCATAAAGATGGTTGGATTTAGTCAGACAAAGGAAAGGGGGAAAGTTATACCCCATAGAACGACAAAAGACATAAACATGGAAATACCCCAACTTGGGGAAAAACTGCAGGAATGGGAAAATGTGGGGATGGAGAGCCAACAGGATCCATTATGGAAGGTCTTTGGGGAAATGCTATGCAATACTGTCTTACCCACTTAATTATTGGAAGCCTAGTTTTGAAAATTGTCTTGAAATTTTTAAAGATACAGATTCTCAGCGATTTTATAAACACCCGTGTATTCATTTATAAGAGTCTAGCATAGGTAAGGTTTTTTTGTGTCTCCCCCATCCTCCTTAGGGATAAATGTCATCGTGAGTTTGGTTTTGGCCCTTTCTGTCTACGGTTCTTTACTCTTACTACACATCCACCCATCACTCAACAAATATATCCTGGGGTATCACCTTCAAGGCAGGATTCTGGGCCCTGCTACACAGAAGAGAGCAACTCTCAAAATTCCCTTTGGGGATATTTTCCTTCATAATCAATGAATAAAAATGCATAAAGTATATCTTATGTTAACAACTACAAAGGAAAATAAGGCAATAAAAAGAAGTGAAGGGTTATAGGAATGACCACTGTTGAAACGCTTGATACTGTAGACAAAACCAGAGAAGGGAGAAAGAAAATGAACCCAATGTATCTAAGAGAGAACTCCCCGGTGTTGAGAATAGTTCGAGGCAAAAGCTCCAGTAAGGCGTATCGAAACTGGTGTGTTAAAGGAGAGGTAACCAGGTGAGCAAGCCTCAAGGAAGAGGCTCAGCATGGCCAAGGACTCTCTTGTTTAATCTGTTCTTTTTTTTTAAGTGGTTATGTAGGAAGCCCCATTGTGAAAAGGCTGAAGAGAACAGCAGACATAAGAACAGACTGAAGACTATAAAGCAACCTAGACAAAGGGTGATTATTTGGGGGCCAAAAATCATCACAGTAGATGTCGTTTCTAGGTGCATCTCACAGTTGGAGAAAGGAGAACCTGTTAACAAGCTAGACATAGGGCATAGAAACAGGAAGTACACACTTAACAGTTGAGTTCCTGTGACCATGACAAGTCAGACATAGGATATAGAAACAGGAAGTACACACTTAACAGTTGAGTTCCTATGGCCATGTCAAGTCAGACATAAGACATAGAAACAGTAAGTATACACTTAACAGTTGAGTTCCTGTGGCCACGTATCTTCGGAGAAGAGGAAAAGGAAAGATAAAAATGACCTATTTTCTTTTAATAATGCAAATAAACTTAGAGCTTATACACATATGTAGTGTATACAAACATACGGATATATATATATATATATGTTTATCATTCAGTGCTTTTACAAAACTGGTTGACTGTTGTTCACTGCATAAAAAAGGTAAAAGGATACAACTTGTACATTATAAAATATACTTGTAATTTTTTAAATAAAATATGTTTACAATGTGCAAAGTATATTTTGTACTTTGGAGTATACAGAAGGAAAAGTCTTCATTATCTTATTACCGAATGGCTACTCTTTCGATTTTGATGGCTATCTTGCATCTATATATTTTGAAATTGTGTAGTGACTGTTAGAATCTTTAATTTTTGAACGCAAGAGAACCCATAGGATTGAGAATTACAGTACAATTAGCTTTCCCATTTTAATTTCTATTGTTTCTTATGACAGTTTGGGGAACTAGCCAATGTTTACAAAGTATTGTCTTTCTGAACCAAAATGGTTTGCAGCTTTGAAGCTGCCAGCTAATAAACTCTGAACAGAGTCCAGAATTTAGAAGTTAGTTAAATTTGAAATATTGAGCCAAGTGTGGAGTTGTGTTAAAAGAAGAAAAGTCCATGTTGGCTTAAAATCAACATCTGGATTGGCACAAAAATATGCTAGTGACAGAGAATCACTTAATCAGAATTAATATCTTTTATTATAGTCCTCTTTCACTCCGTCTCTTATGTACTTGGGAATTAACTTGTAACATGGCATGTCATTATTCTTTTGATTTGGAAAGCTCACTTACCTCCTAGCAACTTTCAGAATTTTACAAAGATAAATAGAGGACCAATTTTTCTGCAGCTGGATTTTGAATCATATCAGACATTAAGCCTAATTTGCTGGTGATATTTTCCATTATTATACTGTGAAAGTATTCCCTTTTTTTTTTTTGGAACAATGCTTCTACCAACGTGTCTAAGAACCCAAGCTTTCTGAAACGAAAGTTAAGGTTTTCATTTGACTTTGATATAGAAACCCAATTTTTCCTTCTTGGGTTTCAAGGACAAATAATTTCAGGATATTAATAAAAAATTAAGGAAATGGGCCCAGGTGGACAATGGAAAGCAAAAATAAGGATGTTGTTTTATTGACTTTACTGATTGGAGGTACAGACACTTATCTCAAAAGGTAAAGGCACTTACTGCCAAACTTAGTGATCTGAGTTCCATCTCCAGAACCTACAAGGCTGAAGGAGGGTACAGAATCCCACAAGTTGTACTCTGACAGCCACTTGTGTCCCATGGCACACACATGTGCATATATATGTGCTCTCCGACACCAACACAAACAGTAAATAATTGTAATAATTGTTTACTTAAATTTGCTGACTGGAAAAAACAGACCTATTCCAATAAAAGTAATCTGTACTTTTCTGCCTCTGTGAGGTTAGGAAGGGCAGCCTTTGGAATGAAATGGCTAAAATCCTAGCCTCATCGCTTTTAAATAGCATGTTCTTGGAAGGAGTTATTAATGTGTCATTTGCCACAATCTACTCTTTGGAGCAATGGGAATCATTTTAGCAGTTACCTCACAGTGTTTGTGGAGCACAGGGAAATAGTTGAACGAGTGGGTCATTAGCTGGCAGTGGTTGTTCCTATTTTATTGATCCTAACACATGGAAGCCCTGGTCCACCTTCTTCCCAGGGGAAGGGGCAGATGTGTTCTGAGATGCAGGCAGTGAAATGCCATTCTGTGTAGCTACACCCTTATCTACCACAAAAGAGAACAGCCGTGAAGGAAGAGCAAT